ACCTTTTAAAGGTGGAGTAATACAGGATACTCTTGACATGGAGGTCACCTATATAAGTGTGAAGTGAGGGCCGCTTCAATTGTAAACACTTATGAATCCAAAGTGTTGTCCGTGGCCAAAACAGACACAACAATAGAACGAAATGAAGTTAAGGCTCTATTGTGTGAATGTCATTGTCTTGGTGTACACTATGAAGGAATAGTTCAAGGCACTATGTCCACTAAGCCGCCAGTACATCCGATGATATTTACTAAGAAATGTTGAAAGCCACAAGCTACCTTTTCTGATGCAATAGAGTCTTGTGAGGATTGAGCATAAGAGTCTGCATACATACATACATTTGATTTCCACTCATGTGGGGGATTGATGGAAAAATCAGTTATAAAACTTGGGTTTGACCCGGTTTTGACTGAGTTTTTGATGGCTAAATATTTAATTTGAGTTGAATTAAATATTGTAGAAAAATTCTACGTTCCGAGTAGATACGCGTGGTATATTTATTTTCTCAAAGCTGATTTTCGGTGAGTGAGAAATAAATTGTTAAAGTTAGCCATAAATGGACACGTAAAACGTTGGTTGTGGGAATTTATTTGCAATTTTAGGCCCAACTGAAAAATCCAATTTGGATTTGGATTCGGGTTTTGACCCAACCCGAGTGAAACCTCTCTAGGTACAATAGATCTGGACACATGACCTTTCATGTGAAATGTAACACCTGACCTTTCATGTGAAATATAACTCCTGGTTAATTGTGAGTTAACACCTGAAAAACGTTTCTGCTCATTATCTCTGCCTTTAGTGGCAGATGTGACTGCTGGTTTCCCTCAAGATGTGTAAGTCCTATAAATAGGACCTTGAGTTGCAGAAAAAACACACAACATTGCATGCACTCTAAATACTCTCAAAAGCCTCACGCATCATATCATACTGCTTTGTTCTCGACTTCATTCCAATTCGTCGGAGCTCGAATTCTGGTGTGCTACAGTATTCGAGACGTAAGCCGTTGTATCTTTGGGGACGAGACGCCTAAACCCGTCAGCACTATACGGGGCATTTTCGTCTTGCGGAAAGAGCAATCGCCTCGGCTATTTTCGCTTTCTCTTTTGTAATTTTTCGTTCCTGTTTTAGTTCAAATTGTAAGAACTGAACACTTCAGTCAGTTCATAGGTTCCCCTTGTAATTTAAAACACACTTTGTGTAACAGTAAAAACATTATCTTACAATAATATATGGTTTTTATTTTATATTATGTATGATGTAACTAACTTGGGTGATAACTTGGATTAGAACCAAAGTCTTTGTAAATCAAAGTCAATCGAAATGGACTTCCTAGCATTATTCTCGCACGGGATGGACATAACCTACGTTAAACTCGCACATACACAACTGCCTTTCCTTCTCTTCACACTCTATCTTCTTCCTCGCCGGACTGTTCCCCTTT